GTACACTGAACTACTGCATCGAACCAAAGTACGGAACTACTGCTAACTAGGCAGGTCGGCATTGTGGTCGTAGACCCGTTCTTACTGGAAGGAAAACTCACCTCGTAGTGCTGGCTACTAAGATGATAACTTTAAAAGTGGCTGGTTGCTGCTCCGGAACTGACCGGCTACAAATCCCAAAAACACTATATCAGTTACTTGTAAATGCCCTCAAGGTAAAATAACTGTTTTACCCCTGGTCAAAGTCAACTTCCAGTTGACCAGACTCACCAAGTCAGGGTGCAGACTCGCCGAGTCCCTCCTTTACTAACTCTGACTTTAACTCACTGAGCCCCTTTCCCACTCACTGATTCACTCTGAACACACAACTCGAAGGGAAAACGCGGACTTGCAACTCGAATCGTCGAGTCCGAAGAACAACTCGCCGAGTCCTATCACAGATTCCATGCAATCGAATTCTAATCCATTCCAAGGCCTCTAAATTGTAGATCTGAGCCTTGGGACCATCTGAACACGTAGAGTTGCTGACTTTACATGTAACTACAAAGGAATGAAGCTATTTCACTCAAACACTACTTTCTTCGGGAAAACTCATCCGGCTCGCTGAGTTGTAGAACCATTCGTCGAGTCTAAGGCAATCTTCATCAAACTTGCCGAGTTGCTCATCCAACTTGTCGAGTCCAAGGCTATCTTCATATGACTCGCCGAGTCAAGCTTGTGACTCGCCGAGTCCATTCAGTCCCTTTTTCATACAAGCCTGATTTGAGCCATACAACGGCACTAAGTCACAGATCCATGCTTCTAAGGCATGCTTATCAAGTAAAGTTGCAAACTTTACATGCATGCATGGCTTTAAAGGCTTCAAATGCCAACCCTAAGCTCTTAATGCGGTTCCAAGCTCAAGAGGGACTTCAATCACGACCATAACTGAAACTTTACACTTCTAGAATGCAATGAGAGTCTAGATATGAAGTTTTCATCCAAAGAGATTCCATATCTCAAGTTTTGAATCATAAAAGGCTCCAAAGAAGGCATAACAAGCATAAAGGAGGTTATAATGGAGGAATGCACAAGGTTATAACTTCATTACCTGAATGAAGAACAGATGTAAGCTAACTCCTGGATCTTCCTTCCCTTCTATGGACCTTCTTTCCTTCCCAAAGCTTACAAGCTATCACAAGCACACTCAAAATCAACAATGGGGCTAGGGTTTACAAGGGAAATGTTCTGAGAGTGATAGAGTCGGGGGTGGGGGTGCATAAGTGTGTTTAAATAGGGTGCAAGCCCTTAAAATTAGGGCTTCATCCAGACAAGCGGACTCGCCGAGTCCAGCGTATGGACTCGTCGAGTAGCCAGCTCAAAATGCATGATCGTCCCGTCTCTACTCGACGAGTCGGGCTACAGACTCGTCCAGTACCCCTTCATAAATGAAAATACTTTATTTGAATTATATACCAGAAATGGGGCGTTACACACTAACCGCCCCACTATTACCACTTGCGTGGATTTGAGTCATGGCGACTGTCACTATGGCTATTACAGCAGCCTGAAAGATAACAGGAGCATATTGTGGAGGTGGTGGTGGTGGTGGCGTTGGTGCGTTGTTTTTGTTTCTGTTTGACTTCTTTAGCGGCATCTTTCTGCCATAAGGTTTTAAAAGATGGAGTTGTGGTAAGTCTTTTATTAGCGGTTATAAGTCGAGTGTCAATCGAGCTTTGTTATCTTACTTCTATGTGTATCATGTTCTGAATTTTCTAGTGTTTTGCTATCAATTCATAATAGATGTCTATATAAAATAAACCTATGAATTTTTAATAGTGACCACCTTTAATGAAATCTTGTGACTTGATTTACTATTATTTGTTGTTACGAAAGTGGCAATAAGCCTAACACATAGTATAAGTAGCGTAAACACTAACTCACTAGGTTATATTAGTTTATTAATTATTAGTATGACGCGTAAGGCGCTTTGCCTCCTCGCATGATTCGCGAATGATCTCTTTTGCACTATGTCTTGGCTATGATTTGCCCTAGTTTCAGCTGTAAAGATTGGTTTTCTCCTGGCATTCCTATGGTGTTATTGTTCCTCGTAGATGTGTTGAATCCTTTCTTCGTCAAGCTTCGGACCTTAACACTGATCTCCATTACTTCATGATGGAGAATCTGAACCTGAATGTCCAAGTGAGCCTCTCAAGTCTTCTCTTGGCAAGCTAAGGTTTGTTAATGATCTCTCTAACACCTTTCTCTTTACTTGATCCCTTCTCGGACTCCTCCTCATGAACCCATTTCTGGTTCCTCCTTAACTCTTATGTTGGTTGTTGTAGTGGGGTTGCGATGTCTAGGTATGTCGTTTGTGCGAGAATAAGGGTGTCTAAATAATTTATGAGATTAATAAAAACATGTCTATTGAAATTTTAATGGTGTGATCCTTATTGGGTCCTCCTATAGTCACGCAGTGTATACTATTTATATATAACCAAGATCGAATAGACCTTCGAATAAGTGATCCTACTCTAAGACCGCAACCAAACAAGGAACATGAAGTAAAGCGAAATCACAAATTCTAAGCCTATCAAATCTTACTTATATATAACCCTTAGCGTATACACTAAGCAATTATAGATATGCCAGTAAGGATCTTTTAGTTTTCACATACATTATTTATAGTACGATAAAATACTCCTATAGTATTTTAATTGTATGTTTGATTCTAGAGCTTCTTGGTATATGAAAATAATAAGTTTTTAGACTTATTGTTATTGTATAGTGTCATAAAATACTCCTATAGCATTTTTAAACTTTATGTTTGGTTCTAGAGTTCCTTTGCATGTAGAGTTGGTAAGTTTTAGACTTGTTGCAGCACCACGACCATTCCTAGACATATGTTAATCATCTCTCAGATAAATATAGTTGATCAGGCTATATTTTTCCCAGACCTGATTATATATCTCTAGGCCTACTCGTGTTTCTCAACTTCCTAAATACTTTTGTATTATTCTTCTTGTGATACTATTCTAGTATGTATGCATACATGTATACTTTTATAAAAAAAAAATATTATATTTTAAAAGTATAGCTCTTGGTCAGAGTGTTTTTATCCCATTATATATATAGTTATATATCTTATGTGGGTTGATATACTTAGTTCACTATAAACAATGCTCTGATACCAATCTGTCACACCCCCAAACCGGAATGACGGAAACATTCGGGGGCGGAGGACGTCATGTACAGTATCACAATAATTGAATAATAGTAATCAAAGTAACAACAATCATTGTATTGATAATATGGTATTTACATTTTATTCGAATCATAGTTTTATGGACATTCAAAAGTAAGCAAAACTAAGACTTGAATCTACTATGCTCTATCTTCTCGGGACCTGTGTGTGTACCTGTCTACTAGTTTCCTGAAAATAGAATTGGTTTTGAAAGTATATTAACATTTAAGTTGGTGAGCTCATAAGCATTTTTGTATTAGAAAGTATGTTCTTTGTTACTTGAAAACATTAGTGTGTTCCTCCAGATAATCCAATATTTTCACTGTAAATGAAATGTAAGTAATGTGACCCATACAAGTTCTTTCTACGATCGCTTAGTGAATACAAGTTATATATAATCCAGATCGAACAGAAAATCGAATGTGTGATCCTACCCTAAGCCCACAACCAAACAAGGAACAGAAAGTAATGCGGATATCACACATTCCACTGCCTATCGGATCTCATTTATATATAACTCTGATGTATAAAACTAGTTCGTATGTATGTTCCTGGATCCTCCAGTTGTATTGTAAAATATTGTTTTGTAGTTTTATTATTAAATAAAACTATATGAAGTTGTTTATGTATTCATACACTAATCGTTTTGTTAATACCAAATTGTGAGTTATTATAACCATGCTTGATGACCTAGGATTGCCTGATACGACGTTCTTTAGGTGTCAGAATCATTATGACATTTGTCACCCCAGAACTTTCGTTCCAACTGTAGCTAACAGTCAGGGTGCGGGATCGTCAGTCTTATATAAATCTATACTCAAATTTATGATCTCCCTCCAGGAGACTCTGGTTATAAAATCAAGGCTTTCGTTGGCACTTAGATAAGTACTTGAAGGTATGTCTCACAAAGTTATATTGACGGTTACGTGTAGAATAATGAAAATCCATGTAGTAATGATAAATCGTTTTTATTACTCTTTTCATAGTGAAAACCTAGTATGTATGATCCATAAACTATAACTGTTATAGTTTATATGTTTGTTCTTGTATTGTTATCTGACCTTATAGAATAGTATGTAAGTTCCCTAAGCTGATTCGCCAGTTGCCACTGTGAATCTACAAGGACAACATTGTCTACCTACACACTATCAGTTCATTATAATCGTTAGTAGTTGGTTAATTTTTATGTTAATGATAAAAATGACAAGTAAATTTCGAATTTGGAAGTCTATAAAGGTCAAATAAAATAATAATGGACTTTTAAAACCAACTTTAAAATTAGTAGGGTCTTTACCACAAAAACCTTAAAAAGAAATGGGAACAAAAATTAAAGTTCAATTCAATGACAATAGTTATTTATGTTTCTAGTAATATTCTATATAAATATATAAAACTAAATTACAAATTTGGATCCCTTTATTTAATCGCTTTTTTTGTTTAGGTTTTAAAAATATATTTTTTTTAATTATGCTTTTAAATTTGTTATATCATTCTTGCCGTTGAAGCAAAATCGCAAATTGATACTTTATGTCCCCACAAAAATGCTAAACTCAAAGATCGATCAATTTTTGTAATTTCGTGAAGATATAATATTACTCGAATAGAGCATAGCGAATCTTGTATCCATGTAGCACTTTTTTCAAAAGATCGATAGCTTCCCATGGTAAAAAGTTTGCCTTCGATCCTGTATATTATGGCAACTATTTTCTCTATATATAGACTTCTTAGAATGTGAATCATCAAAAACTCCATCTATCCTATAGAGAGAATCCTTCAAATGTCAGTGCCTGTAACCTCCGATATTCCTACGTCAATGGACGCTCAACCAACTGCAGCAGATAATGAACGGAGAAAGGCTATGTCCATAATTATTAATAGATACAACGATAAGCTGACAACTTTGCCAAAGGAGAAAGGTTGGTTAACAGAAAACCTACGCCTGTATGAGGGCTTTTGGCAAGAGTCGATCCGTGTCATCTCAGTTCTAACTCTAATGGCCTCGCAGGACAGTTTTCAAGCTCAACCAACTGATATCTATGTAGCCACACTTCAAAAAGCTGGGACAACGTGGTTAAAGGCGCTTGCATTCGCTATAGTAAACAGAACCAGGTACAAAAACAGTTCTCTTTCATCCCACCCTCTACAAATTCTTAACCCACATAAATGCGTTCCTTACATTGAAATGGAAAGTTTAAGAACGCTTCCTAGTTATGCCGATGGACAATCACCTCGTCTATTTTCTACCCATATACCTTACACTTCATTGCCTCAATCCATTCTTGATAATGAGTGTCGAGTAGTTTACATGTGTAGAAACCCAAAAGATGTTTTTGTTTCTTTGTTTCATTATGCCAACAAGCTGAGAGACAAATCTCTTGCTCAAATGAGATTCGAGGAGGCGTTTGAGATGTTTAGTAATGGTTTGATTCCAGGAGGACCTTATTGGGATCATGTGAAAGGGTACTACAAGGCTGCTATTGAACGCCCATCAAAGATTCTATTTTTAACGTACGAGGACATGCAAAAGGATAGTGTGAATAATGTAAAGCGTCTGGCAGAGTTTATGGGATATCCTTTTACGGAGGAGGAAGAGAGCAAAGGTGTTGTGCAAGAGATTGTGGCACTATGTAGTTTTGAAAATATGAGAGAGGTTAATAAGCATGGGATACTTGCTGAGGGTGTTCGTAATGATGTTTTCTTTAGGGAAGGGAAAACTGGAGATTGGACAAATCATCTTACAAATGAAATGAGCCAAATTTTGGATCAAATCACCAAAGAAAAGTTTGATGGTTTGGATATCTCCTTCTAAGTGGCTACATGAGAAACTAATTTAAGGAATAATGGATAGCTAAAGTTTTCATTTAGTTTTATATATCTTGTACCAATAAAATATCCGAATACTTATTACTTCAACTGCTAATAAATATTGTTGCTAAAAACATATTAAACTTTCCATTTTCTTCTTTTAGAGATAGTGCGGCTACAAAGAAACAAGAATACTAAAGGGCTCTTTACGAATTACGATGCCTAATGGTGTTTTAAGGTTATATTTTTGGTCCAGGCACTTTGTTTGAAGCATATAGAATATTACTAAAAATATTAAAATTTAAAACAATTGTACATGGCTTCTACTAATTAGTTATATTAAGTGTAATATCGTTGAATAACAACAAATTCTCACAAAGTCCCTAACTTAACTTCAAAAAATTTCACACCGGTCATGTATGAAAAATGATAGTAGAGACCGTAGAGTCCTTGTAACGCTCTAGGCGGATGTACTTTGCAATAACTTAAAGAATTGTAATTTTCAGTTTATAATTTTTGGAAAGTGCGCAATTCATGGCATGAAATCCAATATATAAGTCTACAAAAATATATAAGTTTAGAAAGAGTGGTGCCACAAAAAATGACTCTCTTTACTGTAATGTAGGCACGTCATTTCTTGCCACAAAAATATAGTTTCATATCACACACAATGAGCGTTGTCATGCTTCTTTAGTTATTTTTATTTTTAAATAAATAAAATTTTTAGTTTTAATTAAAAACAAAATATTTCATTAATTAAAAATAAAATCATTACATTACTTAAAAAAAATAACATGACATTAAAAAAATAAAAAATAAAAAAATAAAAAATAAATAAAAAAAAACCTAGAAAATTAGAAAATAAAAAACTAGAAAGCTTAAACCTACAACTTTATAAATAAATAAGAGAGATTAAAAACTTGGATAAAAACTAGAAACTAAAAACGATCAGTATAGCAAGTTGCAAAAATTTATTCATTCTATCTTTATGCCTTACACATTCTCATTCATTTCTTTCAAGTCATCCGATTCCAACACTTTGTTCTTGCATTTGTTTTTTGTTTTGTCCATTCCCATTGGTCGGGGGTGGTAACACTTGAATGGGCTCATCCTCATTGGGTCAAAACCAACACGAGCATCCGATGAAGTATGTTCGAATTCAGAAGTTTTTGACCGTTTTGATCCACTGTCAATGTGCTTGTCGCTTGTTTTTAGATTTCGCCATTTTTTGTTGCCTTTGAGTAGATTCCAAAGTTCAACTTAAAAGTCTTCTTTAACTCTTTTTGGTAAATGTTTAGAGTTTTCTCCAAAATCACATCGTCGCTTTTCCATTGTTGTTTCATGTTGTTATACAAATCGTTAAACAACATAACGTCTTTGTTCATCTTTCCCCATTTTGAGTAGACTTGATGTTTAGAACGATATGGTTGTAGGTTCATTCCTTTATGGAACCTAGCTCTAACACACATCCAAAAATTATAATGTTTTTGGTCCCCTCTCGTCTTCACGTCCTCTGAAACGTCAATCCATGATTGTGCTAATACTAACACTTCTTGAAGTTTCCACATTTTAGATTCCGCATTCTCTTTTCTTTTATTTCCTAGTTGAGAGGGTTGAGTTTGTGGAATAAATTCTGGTTCGGATTCGGAAATGAGTGTTTGTGGTTGTGATTATGTTTGTGGAACAAACTCTAGTTGAGAACTCAGTAATATAACGATATAAATGTTAATATGGTAAAAAAAATGAAGTGTTTGTGAGTTATTTTGATTAATATGGTAATGTATTTATAGTGTTAGTATATATATATATATATATATATATATATATATATATATATATATATATATATATATATATGTTAATAATTTTTTAAAATTTTAACTATTTGCGACGGTAAAGAACATTAGCCAATCAAAATCATCCGAGAAGCACTCCCTCCCACAGCGATAGTGCGGCCTCAGCCACAATTCTACCGCACCTAGGGGTAGTGTTTGCGCCTACGTGTCGCCAAACTAAGGCCTCAGCCGCAGTCCACCCCACTGATCTAAATCTTGAATGGTGTTTTGAAGTTATGATACGGAGTAGGATGATGATGACCTCTTTAAATTACAAATCAACCATGTTAATGATATGATTTAGGATGTTAATTAGGGTTTATAAGTGGTAGTTGAATGTAATATAAACGCATTGGTCTATTTGAATTGGATTAGAAGAGGTTAGGGTTGAACTGGTCATGTTTTTTACGCTAAAAAAAACCTTTATAATTATATTGTTAAACAATCCATTCGATCAAGTGGAATATAAGGCATAATACCATTCGACCGGGGTAATTACACAGTTATCATGTATCTTTTGTAAGTTTTGCATGCAAGCTCCCAATAATATCTAATTTCTCTATTGCCTTACTATGATCATAGTGAAACTATGTACGTTTAAGGTCATATATAAACTTTGATTACGATGTTTTGTAGGCAATTAGTCGTTAAAACATGATTAAATCTTGGTCGTTAGGTGATAAATATTTAACCAAATATCATTAGGTCCAGACCCGTCCTAGAGGCTGAGCGATAGGGACGACCGTCCAGAGCTCATCTTTTAAAATGGTCAAAAAGATTTATAGACTTTATTAATATAATGTTAGACATGATCGATTTCTCAATGATTTTGCATTTCAAAAAACTAAAAGAAGTTTTTTTTTTTTTAATATATGGGCTTTTATAATCAAAAATGTTATATTTAGAAGCTAATATAAATAATTTTTTTCAATTATTAAGTTAATATAAAAATAGTTTATGAAATTTATAATAAAAAATGTTATATTTTAAGGGCTTTTTTTCCTCTTTCATCCTGGTTCAAAATATATTTGGAACGGCTTGATTAATACTTGTGCGTTTGAAGATTTTTCTTCCATTTCATACATTGAGTTATATATACACTTGTTTATGTTATGATGTTTATATAAGTTTTGATGTTACTAACTTTGTACATAGAATTTTACTATTTTTCCCCGATCGTTAGGTGATAAATATTTAACCACCACACACACAAAGAGAGACAAACTCTCTCTTTCTCTCCTAACACACACACATCCTACCCTCACGTTCGACATATAAGTAAACAACAACTAATGTGTGGCAATTTTTATTGAGGAAATAAACTTATTATGGTAATTAACTTTTCGGGTTGTTCACATCTGGGTAATTATCTTTTTTTAGTACACATTCAGGTAACGAATTTTTTGAAAATGTTCACATATAATCATTATGACCGACTATAGCAGGTTACATCTTGTCATAATAGTTACCTAGATGTGTACAAATTACACCACTGTGGTTTGTGTAATTTATGCGTTTGATTCCTAACTTATTTTTTAACTCGTATGAGCCCTACTGTTTTCATGTCTTAAATCAAAATACTTGTGTCCTTTTAAATTTATTTTTAATTAATTTTCTTATTTATATATTTTTAAAAAAATTAATAGACCCCACATATTTATATCCTCGCTCAAAACCTAAAACCAAATTTGAGAAATTTAAGCTAGGTCCCACCAGTCACCATCTCATCTCTCATCCTCCTCAACTTCTATTTCTTTTCCATCTTTAGTGGCATCGACGTCTTCACCATCTCTTCTTTTTCTGGTATTTCAACTCCGACGAACCAACACCACAATCCACTATCTCTTCATTGAATTTTCCACCACCACAACCCAACAGATTGGGTTGTGGTGGTGGTTCGCCACAGTTGAAGGACCAAAAAAAAAGACGATGAAGACATCGATGTCACTATAGATGGAAAGGAAATAAAAGTTGAAGAGAATGAGAGATGGAATGGTGACCGATGGAACCCAACTTAAATTTCTCAAATGTGGTTTCAAGTTTAGGGTAAGGAGATACAGATATGTTAGGTTTATTAATTTTTTTTAATATATAAAAAAAATAAATACACAAATAAGAAAATTAATTAAAAAAAATTAAAAAGAACAGTCTTTTGAGGTAAGATAGAACCAAACACACAACAAAAATGAACAATAGAGATTATCCGAGTTAAAAAATAAGTTAGGGACCAAACGCACAAAATACCCAAACCACAGGGACGATTCGTGTAATTTATTCTTACATTTTCGGTTTGTTCACATCTGGGTAACTATCTTCTTTTTGTATACATCTAAGTAACGAATTTTTTGGAAGTGTTCACATATGACCATTATGACCGATTATAACCGAATGTAACCTACTACAGCCGGTCTACAGCCGGTCATAATAGTCATATGTGAACACATCTAAAAAGTTAATTACCTAGATATGTACAAAAAAAATAATAGTTACTTAGATGTGAACAAACCGAAAAGTTAACTACTTTAATAAGTCTATTTCCCTTTTTATTGTTGCCAAATGCCAACACTAACCCAATTAAATTGCAATACGTTGTTCTGAAAATCAATTTGGAACCATTTCACCTTACAACAAGCATACTTCGGACTCCTTTCATCAAAAATAATTGAACTAATATAATATTTAACTATTTTTTACTCATTTTATTTCGAAGCTAAATCGCTATCAGCCTTCTGTAATGCTCTTGTTAGATGAGTTATACGATAACGGAGTTTTGCATTTTCTTCACTAGCCTTTTGCGCCTCCTTCAAAGCCTGGATTATAGTTATAAAAAATAAAAATAAAAAATAAAAAAATAAAAATAAAAAAAATAAAAACCACAAGATTATATACTCTTTGATCGATAAATACTTATTACTTTTTAGAGAGCATTACTATATAAAATATGTGTCAAATAAGACATTGCAGTTTTTTAAGATGAAGGTAGTAACTACAATAGTTCACCTTTTCTTTTTCATCTTCTAACATTCTTTGCAGTTGAGCTACTTTATTTAATAGTTCCTCATTTCCAGTGTCTGCAACTACCAAATCCCATAAAAAGGAAACAGGGTAAAATGTTGGAACCGAATCATTTATTGTACCAAAATAATGATGGAATGGAATGATATGTCAT